TGAAATGAATAAGCGGTCCCCATAAGGATATGTTTACCCTACATGTGTGTGTGTGTGTGTGTGTGTACAGCTGTGGAAAAAATTAACAGACCATAGCACAATTTTTTGTTTCACTTATTTTTCAGTTTATGAGTGTGTGTGTGTGTGTGTGTGTGTGTGTGTGTGTGTGTGTGTGTGAATAATGTCTCTTTTTTTTTGTTGCAAACTCCAGCCTGGCTTTTACCTGTTTCTCATTAATGAAGGGCTTCAGTCCTAATTCTAGGAGCCTGTCATGAACTGTCCTAGCAGTGCACTTCACACCTGCACTTAATGTTTCCCATTCCTTTTGAAGGTCATTTAATGTCATCTTCCTATTCATGAGAAACTGTCAGATAAGTTAACAGTCATCTCTGCCAATAGAAAATTGCTTCCACCCTCTACTCGGCTGGTTTCTGGTTATTCCCGGTGTCTCCTGCTTCACCTTATTCTTGTGTACTGCAGTCTTAGATACTCTGAGCCTGGAAGCATCCAGTATGTAGCCTTCTGCCAGCAGGACCAGGATTAAACCAGGATTTAAAAATGCAGACTTTCTTATCTTTAAATTTGGAGTGGTCTCTTGATTTTTTTCCGGAGAAGTATATGTAACAACTTTATTTCTTCCGGTTGGAAGCACTAATGTGTGTGACAGTTCTAAACAACAAGGCTCAGTTAAAGCACTGGTCAGAACAGATGCAGGTTATTGAGAACTGAAATGGTTAGACTTGCAGACACAGTACACAGTGTACTGTGCATTAACAGAGGCAGTAACCGTAAAGTGTGTAGGTGACACTTTAATAAAATAAGGAATAACATATTAATGGTTAACAATAAAATACAGATAATATATAATAATATATAATGTGTTTCATATCCTATATTATATTATTACTTACAGTCCTTTATACAGTCTTTACATGACTATGTCATATTAAATCATCACCCTGCACTGGTTTTCCAAATAAAAATGTTACATATTATCTATTCTACTGGATTTTTTAAACCAACATTTCACAAAATGTAAACATATTTCCATACATTGAAAGTGGTTATTTAATGTCTTTAAACTAATTATTGTATTCCATGTGTGTTTATTATGTCTATCAGTTACTTTAATTCGCGTTATACAAACGATTGCGTTTTGTATAATAGATTCTGAAATTCTTAAATAGATTCTTAACGCAACACCCTGGGTGAACAGGCTTTTTATTCATCAACCAAGAAGTAAAAATGGAAACATCTGATCTGTGTTGATATTTCCCTTGTAACTGAAAGTAGGCCTAAATTTAAAGCGAACTGGAAAGCGTTTTACTTATTAGTCTAGTTTTATTCTGTCGGTGTGAATTTCGAATACATCAATTACAGGATTAAAGCGAAAGCTTACAATCAAACGATTCTCAAATTTCTCAACTATATGAATGAAATAAATATTTTTAAAAGAAGCAACTGTGTATTTTGTACAAAATCATTTAAGTAGTTTAATCCCAGCCCGCCTATAAGTGAAACATCCAATAATGTTAATGTCCAGCGCAATCTCCATTTTCCTGCTAATGAGCGTGTAACTATGACGACTGGGCATGATATTGCCTGTGTTAGCACTTTCTGGTAGTAAAAATGACAATTTTCTCTGTCCTCAAGTGGATCATGGCTTACCTATGGTGGAAACCACAGTTCCCACGAAATAAAAAGCCCCGGTGAAATCCCAGCGGGGTCTGGTGCTGTCCACGCGAATCCCGGCGACATTAGCCTCCTCGTAGTATCTCAGAAAGTTTTCCAGGTCCTTTTTGCTCAAGTTGTGTTTCTGGGTGAAATGATCGAATCTCTGCGCCCACCTCTCCTTCGCCTGCTTCTCTCTGGGGTACTCGAGCGCCGAGAAGACGGCGGCTCCGCACAGGAGGTAGATGATGATGAGCAATGCCAGCATCAGGAACCTCGCATTATCCTCGTTTAATGGACCGAGCCCGCAGCAGCAGCCACGACAAGCCATTATTTTGTTGGGCTGATCCGATCGTGGCTCCACATTATCTCAAGTTGAATACCAAGCCTCCACCGTCCATTCCTGAATTCGCCAGTCGAAATGACACCTGTATTTCTTTCTTTTTTTTTGCTTTATGTCGATGTCAACCAAGTAATAGCTCTGTCCCAGACCATGTCCACTCCAGGGGGAGAATTAAAATGTGGCAATACACAGAGGGGGAGACAGACAATAACTTTGGTCTGATATCATGTACATCTTTGCCGTGGTTGCAACGTGCGTCGCTGGAAGGGATTAGCAACATTAAATCCAATTGTTGCGTTTTTGCCTTGTTTATTTATCGAAAAGCTTTTAAAGCTCTCCTTTGTCAATTAGTCCATAAAAGTCTAGATTCTAATGTTTAAATTATATATGCTACAATTGTCTTTTAATGTTTTTATGTAATGCGCCACATTCTTACGTATTGTGATATGAAAGTGTGAAGAATTACAGTAATCGCAAAATCAATACTGTGGGAAGCAATTAACCTAGTCAGCGATTTTTTTCATATCTCAACACCAAAAAGATGCAAATACAACGCTGTTTTCCGGTCCATCACCTTGGCTGGTAATAAACCATAAATGAAACGAATATTCAGTCCCACCCATAGGCTACAGCAGACAAACTTTACCGACGTAGAACAGATTTGCTCCGAATCCTGTCATTAATGACAACCGCGTTTCCTCCGTGAGTCCAGTAAAAATCTCCAAAAGCTCTTCTTGTAACTATCTAAAAACGGCGTTTGTTTATCTGTCATCCTTGCTGCAGGGATAGGAAGCAGAAGCACGGTGATCACCGGTAGTTTGCTTATAATTTCCATTTCTTGCACAGGTTGTCTGTTTACTTGTTAAAACTGCCAGCGCTCCGTACCGTTCCGTAAAGTCCTGCCTCTCTCTACTTTGTCCCGCATATCACGTTTTGACACCTGAAAGCAAGACATCAACCACTTGTCGCCTCGACCCCTTTAAGTGGATTGAGATCGGATTCTAGCCGACAGAGAGCAGCACTAACCCTGAGACTGTTCGAATCTGATTGCAAAATAAGATAATCAACTGCAAACACTCGGGAAATCTTCTGCAGCCGGTCAGGTGCTAATCCACCAGACGTCGGCTTTTGGGGGAAAAAGCAGGATGCTCCGATTTTTCTTTGTTAAATGTTTGCAGTGGCCTTGATGCCACGTAACGCGCATCGCATTCCTGAAAAAAAGAACAAAATATTCCAGACTAGAGAAATGATGAAGAATCTAAATTGAAAAAAATACTCAACTGGCCATATATTTTTTTTCGTGTTTTCAGACCAAATAATTTGTTTCTGTAAATGTCATTTACTGTAGTAGGCGCTATTTTTAATCAATAAATTGTCTTTTTTCTCATTTAGCCTACTTAAAATCAGCCCAACCAAACATCATAAGGTACGTAAACTTCCCTTCTTAAACAAAGACACAAAGACAAAGACGTGTGTAATCAAAAAGAGAATATTGACGAGCAGGGGCGTAGTTAGAGACGAATGTATGGGGGGGCAGAGTCTTGGAGGGGGGAGGGGGTACTGGCATGCCTATATAAAAGCCTATTTGTGATGTAAGCCAATAAATACATATTTCTTTCTTTCGGGGGGTTAAAGTCCCCCAAAATAGGCCTAATGGCGGCCCTGATGCTTTCAAAACTATATGCAATAAGAAGATTATTATGACACAATTCTCGTTTTTTGTCTTTGTAGAATTGGCTGCCTTAAATAACCAACACATACCTGATCTGTATCATACCAGTTTATACTTAAAGCTAAACACTGCACCTCCTTAAACATTGCACCGTTTATATTCACATTGGTTGGCTGACATTTTTTCAGTCCAAAATAACTTGCATTTTTAGCCATTGACACAGCAAGATATTATGCTACAGCAATTTGGCTGCCTTTAGGGTTATAAATGTAATCAGTCACTGCACTACCTGCTAGCACAGGAAACAAACACAGGACGGCACTGGGAACACACACAGGATGACACATGACAGCACAGGAAACACACACGGGACCATAAAGGGAACACACACAGGACGACACAGGGAACACACACAGGACGGCACAGGGAACACACACAGGACGACACAGGGAACACACACAGGACGGCACA